AAAAAAAAAGGAAAAACGATACATTCAGTCTATCAGATACAAAATAATGTCTAGTACCCACCATTTGAGGGTTTCTTTTCTCACCAGCTTGCTGAAATTATCAATGTTCAAACCAACCACATATTACATGACCAATTAGAATCAAGCTATCCATAAGAACTTCACCCAGCTAAAGTCAATTGTGTTCCTCTTTTCAAAACTCTCTCTTTAAAATATGCATGGATATCATGAGCTCGACCAATTAACAAATGCCAAACAGTATACACAACAACGCCCATCAACAATCAGATAAATCAAAAGATTATTTATGAATGAAAAAACAAATGTTCACTAGGAAACTTGTATGCAAAGTAAAAGTGTTGCAACTGTTAGGGCAATACAAATTCTTGTATGAGACGGCCTAACCATCAGACGAGTCAGAGTCATCATACTTTTTTAACGAAAATGCATACTTATCGTATGCAATGTCATACTTTTGATTATGTTGTTTGTTAATTCCAATTCGATAGTATGCATATATGTTGAAAATGTGTGACAAAAGAATAAAATAAAACAAGGCTCTACTTCAATCTTCCCAACAATTTCATATGCAGTTATAGAATGATATCCTGGAGCAAGACATGAATACACTGCACTACATTTTCACATATACACATAAAGACAAGAATCACAAAAAATCAACACACCAAAATTCATATGGGGAGAATACAGTATGAGCTACAATCACACTTGTTAAACAAATAGAGTGTCAAACGAACGACAAGAAAAGTGTCAAACGAACGACAAGAAAAGTGTTGTACCTATGAAAAACATCAAGTAGCGCCGACAATAATGTTGTTGATGGGAATGAAGATGAGTTTCACGAAAAAACCCACAAATCCCATCACCACGAACCCGATGGCCGTCCTAGTCGCCACCTTCGTGAACTCTGCATACCATATTCAGATCATAACATAAAACCTTAAAAAAAACAAACAAACAAACAAACAAAATCAATCAAAATTGTGGGTTAAGACAACCTAAACACCTCAGTTGTTACCTTTGCGATCGGGCTTGTGGCAGCGCTTGACCAGGCGAACGCTGTCCTTTGCGAAATCTCTCAACGGATCGAAAACAGAATCCAGAGCATCCATAACTTTGTTCCTCTCTCAATTCCTGTAGATCTGAACTTATGGATGATTTTGGGGAAAAAAAATCAATTGGAGGAATTTATTGTATTGTGGGGAGGTCGGAATTTGAGCGTGTGGGGTTAGGAGATTGGTTGAAGTCAACAGCGGATGACGCTATGTGAAATTCCTCAATTAGTCCTCAAATGGACCAAATTCTGCTTTTGGTGCCATTTTGTACCGATTATCGTGATTTGGATCGTGAACCGAAAATAGACGTGGGCTAGCTCTAGCGGGCTTCGGGTTAAATGGTTCAAGCCT